CCGAGTGTGTGTGCGTGCGTGCCCAAGATCCCGAGAGGAGAAAGGAGGAGAAGGGATTGCGGCGTGGCCATCCCCCCGGGAGGTGATTTCTTGCTTTCTGTCTCTCTGAGTCTGTCTTTCTGGCGAGCGCTATAGCAAAAACCTCTCTAAAATAAAAATTTATTTCAGAGCTTTATCATGGAATAATTGCTATAAACCCAATTGTTCCATTTATACAGAAGAGTAACTGGCTGAGTCTCCTTGTTGCACAACTACAAGAGGCAACATTCACATGCCTATGGAGCTACATAATGTAGGGCTAAACTGGGACCACAGCAGCCTATCACAGATATCAAAATATTTGGCCAGAACATTTTTTTCTTTTTTGAATTCACAAAGTAAATTTTTTTACATTCTGGGCCTGGGTCTCTTTGAGAAGGACTAAAAAATAACAACTATAACATATTCATACTTAAACTACCGGCATGATTCTTAAAGAAACCTAAATTTGTTCTTTCAGAGAAAGATACTCATTCTGATGACTACCCAAGTAGCAAATCCTCTGTAACTACTTACTAATTAAGCTTTATGCTTCATCAGGATTTTGCTGAGAAGGTGGTTGGTTCCCTTCAGGGAATGATCTAGCTCCTAGTATTTTGTCTGATTTTCTATTTTTGATTATTTAATTTATCCAACCATACATTTTCTATCTTTCAGGAATTTCTAAAAATTGCTAGTTCTTTGATAATACCCTAGCCTGTTATATTAATTTTTGCTTTTTAAATACCTGCATTACTGGGACCAGCAGTTGGAGTAATGGCTATGTCACTGGACTCTCTTGTAATCAGCCACAGTTTGAGTTCCGGACCTGGTGGCTTAAATTCATGCCGGGTATGTGTGCGTGCGTGCCCAAGATCCTCAGAGGAGAATGGAGGAGAAGGGATTGTGGCGTGGCCATCCCTCCTGGGGGGTGATTTCTCGCTTTCTGCCACTCTGTCTCTCACTTTCTGAAGAGCACATGTGTCCTATAGCAAAAACTTCTCCAAAAAATTATAAATAAATAAATAAATATCTGCATTATTATTTCAATGGAATTTTTGGAGGGAAAAAAAAGCTATAAAAGCAAGTGCTTTGTGTCCTATCTTAGACTACAAATCTAAAACTGCTTTTTAAAAACAAACCTAATTTTGGTACTTGATTTCATTTACTGCTAGTAGGTTCTACTGCCTTTTGTTATTAATTGTTGACAAATTCAGATATATATTTTATTTGAGAAGCTACTGTTAGCTACCACAAACAATTTTACTAGAATGTGAAATCCCTGGCTGAGACAATATATGTATAACGGACAGGATCAATTCATTTATTTAATCTAAACACAGCCAGGATAACTAAAAAAGCATAGTCAAATGCCTAGTAGTTCTTTATATTACCATTTTATATCTTTGAAGAGTCTCAATTGTCTTTATTGCTTTGCAAAGGAGACATTATAAGCTTTAGTGGTATTTGTAACTTTAAGGATTTACTCTGCTTCCTTCAAAAATAAGAAGATAGTTTACCTTAATCACTTAGAACAGGCTGAGAAGTTTGAAAGGCTATTTGTAACAACCCCAGTTTTATGTAGTTTGTATGCAGAAACTCACACAATTACTGCACTAAGTTTAGTAGAGCCTGGAAGGAGGAAAAAGAGAAGGAAAGACTCTGGGAATTAAGAACACATTTTCTCCTTTTCTGTTCTTGAAGACATATAGTAAAGACTTAATTTAAAGAGAAAACTGTGGTGCAGCCATAAGATGTGGCAGTATTCTGTGAGGCAATTCACACATGATAGTTTCCAGTTTAAATCACAAGACCTCTCTGAGTATGCTAGACACACATGTACCCATGACCCAGGGCTGGCTGAGGACTGGGGATGGACTCCAACATGAAGACCCTGTTGGGAGTGCTATCCCTCCTCCACCCCCTCCCCACTCTGTCCCTCTCACTCACAGAATGAATAGGTAAACCTTTTTCCCCTCTTTTTCTTTTTAAAAAATTTTTTTTAAATGTTGCCAGAGAGCTTGTAGGCTTGCCAAAGAAAGAATGAGGAAGCACAACCCCCAAACCCCATGAGGCATGGTCACAACCCCTTCATTTTTCTCTCATTTCAAGAATTTGGACACGTATGCACGTGTGTGGTATGTTTACCAAGCCATCAGGTTGGGACTTGAACTGTATGGTTGGCCATGTGGAATCCAGCTGCCTCACCCACCATGCCACTTGTTATTAGCCTGTGAAGTAAACTTTTTCAAAAAAGTAAAATGAATTAAAAATAGAATGTAAGGTCTATTGGAGTTGAGAGTTTACTATCAACTCTCTTATAACACAAGCTACTTTAACAATAGAATTTCTATTCACAGATAATTAACATACATTTTTCACCTTATGACTCCCCTTTTAAGGCAGCATCCCTGGAAAGATATTGTTTAATAACTCTTTTTTTTTTTTTTGAGAGGTTTTTGCTATAGGGTGCGTGCACTCACCAGAAATACAGAGAGAGATAGAGAGACAGAAAGCGAGAAATCACCCCCTTCTCCTCCATTATCCTCTTGGGATCTTGGGCATGCACGCAAACACGCCCATCGTGAATTTAAGCCACCAGGTCCGGGACTCAAAATGTGGTCGACTACATGGGAGTCCAGTGACATAGCCATTAAGCTAACTGCTGGTCCCAATAATTATTTATCTTAATGTGGGGAAAAATAATTCTAATTTGAGTTTACCTAACAGAAGAAAAAAAAAAGGAGGAAGAACTGAATTTGTTTTATGAATTGGTTAGTAATTCTGTAGAATGAATCATCCAGGGACTACTATATTGCAACCAACATCTTGTCTGTTTAGAGAGAAGTATTAATGAATGCATTTGCTAATAATAAATAATTCTTTAGAAAGTCATATTTTCTAAATAGAATCAAAATCTACAGGCTGACAGCTGGCAATTCCATTAATTTTCAGACTGTTCTCTAACATAGCCTTTATCTATCTATCTATCTATCTATTGATAGATAGATAGATTTTTTTTTTTGGGGGGGGGAGGTTTTTGCTACAGGGCACGTGTGCTCGCCAGACAGACAGAGAGAGACAGAGAGACAAAAAGCGAGAAATCACCCCCCGGGGGGATGGCCCCGCCCCCATCCTCCATTCTCCTCTCGCGATCATGGGCACGCACGCACACATGCCTGGCGTGAGTTTAAGCCACCAGGTCCGGGACTCGAACTGCCGTCAACTACGTGGGAGTCCAGCAAAACAGCCATTACGCTAACTGCTGGTCCCGATAGATATTTTTTTTAAGAGAGATTTTGCTATAGGGGCACATGCACTTGTCAGAGAGATATAGAAATTGAGAAATCACCCCCCAGGACATGGCCACACCACAATCCCTTCTCCTCTCAGGATTTTGGGCACGCACACACATGCACCCGGACTATATGGGAGTTCAGTGATGTCACCATTACACCACCTGCTGGTCCTTCTAACATAGGAATTCTTAACATCTGTGAGTTTAATGCTTTTAAAATAACTTTTTTGTTTAATTAAAAAGGAATTTTGGACTACTGAATAAACAGTAGCTGCATCTGTAATTTCTGTTGTCTAAGGAAAAAATTAAAACAAACCAAACCAAAACTACTTGGACTTCAATTGTATGTGGAAATCAAAAAAAGTTTAAAGACGATATCAAGATCCTCTTGCCTCAGCCTCACAAGCATCTGGAACTACTGGCATGTATCACTACTCCTGGCTTTTAGGGTAGGCTGAGAATCGAATCCAGGCCTCTTATGTGGTCTTAGCTTCCCAAGTAGCACTGTCAACCAGCCTGGACTATGATGTTAGACTGAAATGTATTTTTCTTTGTATTAATGTCAAAAGCAACTATATTTATTTAAAAAGTAATGACATATGTATGTATGTACTTGATTAAGTTTAAGATTTATTAAGGGGGCTGGCAGATGGCATGGTGGTTAAGGGTTCTGGCTGCCCACATGAGCAACAGTGGTTCAAGTCCCAGACCTGGTGGCTCACTTTCTCACTTTTCCTCTCTCTCTCTCTTTTTCTCACTCACTCACTCACTCTGTTCCTCTCTGGTCAAATCAATTAATCAATCTATTAATTAATTAAAGTTATAAATTAAGTTCAATAAAGTAATTCTTTGAAAAAAAGGTTTATTAAGATTATAGATCATCCATAATCAATCATTCTGCAGATTTCTCTGCTTTAACTCTCACTGAAAGGTACACTGTTCCAATGGTGATACTAATAATCAAAAATTGAAATTTAGATAAACAAGTGGAAAAATACCAAGGACATTAAAAATTCAACATTTGATGATAACTCAGAATATTCTCAAGGGTGAAGAACAAATCTTACCTGACAAATATTAGACAACAAACAAGCTCAAGTCAAAATTCTGACTGATTCTTAAAACAGTAAGTACTTAGACTTGATTGTGGTTCCAGTTTGATAGATGGGTTTAAATGTTAAATCTGATACTAGGAACAATAAAATTTGCTCTAATTTAGAAACACACAATCGGGACCAGCAGTTAACGTAATGGCTATGTCGCTGGACTTCCATGTAGCCGACTGCGGTTCGAGTCCTGGACCCGGTGGCTTAAACTCACCCTGGGCACGTGTGCGTGCGTGCCCAAGATCCCAAGAGGAGAATGGAGGAGAAGGGATTGCGGTGTGGCCATCCCCCCTGGGGGGTGATTTCTCGCTTTCTGTCTCTCTCTGTCTGTCTGGTGAGCACACGTGCCCTGTAGCAAAAACCTCTCCAAAAAAAAAAAAAAAAAAAGAAGAAGAAGAAGAAAGAAAAAAGAAACACACAATCAATTTGGCTCCAGATAATTATGTCTTGTCCGTTCTTGTTTGAAATGAATGCTTCCATATGCAGGACCTCTGAGTATAAGATAATATGTTAATTTTCAACAACTGGTTAAAACGACAGAGAAACAGCAAAATGTGGATATAAAAATATAAACTCACCACTGTCCTCTGTTTGTTGGGCAGGAAGACTCTAACAATAGGTTTTTGTGGTGACTTGGGGTTACTCCGTGACGCATCTGTGGGATTTTGAAAAACTGAAAGAGATGAAGGTAGCACTGAAAGGCTAGAAGAGGAAGAAGATGTAACGGTGTCTGTTGATGCAGAGCTAGAAACAGAAAAATCAGTTCCATTCCCCAGGGATTCCAATAACTGTTGTTCTCTTTGTTGGAGGGCATCTAGCTTGCTGGTGTATTCTTCATAGGCCTATAAAATAAAGTAGACTTACATTGAGTCTATTCATTGTCCTAACATTAACAAAAGGAAATATAAAATTTCAGTCTTTGATTATGATATATTCATAATTTAGCTAGCAGGGTTTTAAATGATATGTTACAAAATAAGTGTTGGAAATACTGTAAATAAATATTTCTACCTTTTAATTGATAAACTGTTACAAGACACTACTACATTACGCTAAGAAACCTGATCTATGTATAAGTGATACCTAGATGGTCCCCAAAGAAGCACGGTATTTCTAATTTTCTTGTAAATCATAATTTATCTTCCAAATCACATGTCTAACATAAAAGAAAACCCTTTACTAAATTAAGGATAGGTGCCAATTTATTAAAATTTTTTTTTATAAAACTTGTATATTTCATGCTACACATAAACCTAAAAAAAACAAGGGGAGAAAAAATTGGAAAGAAGATAAGGAGTTATGAGAGATTTGCCCAAAAACAAGACTCAAGTATACAATGCCAGATCTCACTGTTAGCACCAAAACTACCACAATAAGGCTTAGGACTTAGAAGCCTTAACCTTAACTGCTACTTTCTTTCTGAAACAGCTACAATTACTCTCAATGTAGTTCTTTTGTAATGTTTTTCCCCATCAAATATTGCTTAGAGAATAATAAGAATTGTATTTGAAAATCGGGCTTACACTCTGCAGTCAAAAAATTCTGGGGTCATTCTCCATCAGGGCATCTTCCTAGAAGCTGCATTTGACTAAGGCTATGAAGTCGAATGATCATATTAGAGTATGAATTCCTAAAAGAATAGAATGATACTGAAAGTAAAGAGATGGAATAAATTGGAATATATACGTCCATAGTTCTTTTCGGCAGGGGTGATTCCATTAATCACACCATGTCTACTATTTCTTTCTACCATCTCAAATAGAGGCTACAGTACAAACATTTACAGAAGGCTACAAAAGAGAATCAAAGATTTTAATGGCATTTTCCATCTCTTAAGGAGCTCACTATAGGTCTGTGGAGAAACAGATAGATATACTGGGTTGTTGGGAAAGTCATGATGCTTTTTTGCAAAGAAAAACATAGAAAAATATGTGACGACTTTCCCAACAGCTCAATGTTTTCACTTATGTAAGTGCTATATGTGAAAAATAAAGAACATTCTTGATACAAGGTGAGAATGAGGAAGAATGGGGGCCATGAATGGTTGGCTTTTGGATGGATGGAGGAAGTGGGACAGAGAGAATCCTGTGTACAGGAGAAATTCTGTAACAAAGTAAGGAGGAAGGAAATATAAGACAGGAAGAACTACAAACTTGTATAGTTGAACACTATACAATATCTGGGAGATAGTAAGGGATCAATATATACTTGTGACGTTTAAATGAAGAACAGGTACATAGGAAAACAAATAATAAGGCTGGGAAGGTGGGTAAGTAACCAGATTACAGAGTGTACACATGTCAGGTTATGAAGCCTGAACTTCATTCTATTGATATAAACAAAGGAGAAGTATTAAAGGTAAAAGAGAATGTAAGAGAAATTTCATTCCAGTAAAGGTCACAGAACCCTGGTAGATAGATCTTACTACATAACTTTGAAGGGAAAAAAAAAAAGAAAGAAAGAAAGACAAAAAACAGTAAAATTAGCTAGTAAGGTAAGGAGCCTAGACTACATCAAAATGCCCTCTCCTTCTTTACAACCTGTTAGTTGCCCTACCCCAACCCTAAATTGTTTAATAGCAGATCAGTTCCAGAGACAGGATACTTCTGGATAAGTATCCAATTATTAGGACTTCAGTCATTCAATAAATAGACACTAAACATACATGTTTCTGGTACTGTTTAGGGCTCAGACTACAAAAACAAGTAAGACCAATATAACTCTTACCCTTTGAAGATTATATACATGCAGTCTGGGAAACAAAGCTCCTCTTTGTATATTCTTTTCTTATTTTTAAAAGTTTATTTATTTATTTCTTCCAAAAGAGAGAAAGAGAAAGAAGAGACCGTCACTCCCAACAGGGTCTTTTATGCCAACATCTACCACCAGCCAGCCTGCACACACATGGCCAGTGTGTTCAGGGAAAACTCAGGATGGGCAGTAGGGACCTCTGCATGTAGGTCCAGTGAGTTACTGCTGCACCACCATCTGGACCCCTCTTCATCTATCCCTTAATGTTAGTGGGGCAAGTACATTTACCATACAAAAGGAGCCTTAGAAAAAATAACAAATGGGAATAATGAATTTACTGAATGTTATTTCTTTATCAAAATATTAAGTGTTTAGCCAGCCACAGTGGTGAAGTGGTAAACACAACAGTTTGTGATGCTGACCAAGGTCACATGTAAAGATCTCAGGTTCACACCCTGAGGACTGACTCCCTCGTATGAGTCCTGGATTCAGCAATTTAAAAAACAAACTGGACATGCATGTGTGCACACTTGTGCTCAAAGTTCTAAAAGGATGGAGAAAAAGAAAAGGGATTGCACTGTGACCACACCTCATTGGGAGGTGCTTTCTCCCTCTCTTTTTCTGTCTCTCTAATGAGCATACATACCCTATGTGAAATGTTTTAAAAATTAAAATTTATGCTTTAAAAGAAACTATCAAGAGAATAAACAAAACATACCATAGAATGGGAGAAAATCTTTGCAAACCGTATCTGAAAAAGATCTATTATCCTGAACACATACATTAAAAAAAAAAAAAAAAAAAAAAAAAAAACTCTTCTAACTCCATAATAAAAAGACAAATAAATCCAGTTTTGAAAATGGGCAATGAATATGAAGATATTTCTTCAATGAAGATATACAATGGCTAGTAAGTACGTGAAAAGATGCCTAAGATCATTAGTGATTAGGGTATTGCAAATTGCAAACTAAAACCAAAATGAAATACCAATTCACAGCTACTCTATTGGTTATGATTAAAAGTAAAATGAGCCAGTGGATGGCACAGACGTTAAGGCACTTGATCCCACATGGTCGGCTATGTGATTTGAGTCTTAGATCAGGTGGCTTCAAAATCATCCTGGGCATGTGTGTGTATGCCCAAAGTCCCAAGACAAGACTGGAGAAGGGACCGCAGCATGGTCATCCTCCCTGGAGGGTGATTTCTCACTTTCCCTTTCTCTCTGTGCCTCTCTCTGGTGAGCATATGTGCCCTATAGTAAAACTTAAAAAAAGGGGGGGGGGGAGAAGGGCAAAATAAAAATGAAAATGAAAAATAACAAATATTGTTGGTGAAAATGTGGAGAAGTTGGGACTGTCTTACATTGCTGGTAGGATGTATAACAGTACAGTGACTTTGGAAAACTGTCTGGTAATTCCTCAAATGTAAAACAGTTATCAAAGAGCCCAGTCAATCCCATTCCTAGGTAATATAAGCAAGAAAACTAAAAACTTATGTCCACACAAAACTAGTATACAGTTCACATTAGCATTATTCACAACAGCCAGAAGATATAAAAAGACCAAGTGTCTGGAATTCAGTCAATGAATTGCTGAACAAATAAACAGAATGTGATATATTCATGTGACAGAATATTATTCAGACATGAAAAGAAATGAAGGACTAATATATGCTATAACATGGATAATGCTAAGTAAAATCAGCCAGTAACAAAAGGCCACAAAACACATGATTCCATTCATGTGAAATGTCTCAATAGGTAAATCCATAGAGACAAAAAAAAAAAAAACACATCAGTGAGTGGCCAAGGGCTAAAAGGAATGAATTCTAACAGAACAGATTTCTCTTCTTGGGTAATGAAGATGTTCTAGAATTAGATAGTAGTAATGGCTGCACAATTTCATAAATAGGTTAAAAACCACTTAAATATACACTTAAAGTGAATTTTATAGTATATGATTTCTCAAAATTGGAAGAAAAAAATCCAAGTTTCTACTTAGTAATATGAGAAAAAGTGGTAAAATAATTTATCATTTAGTTCATTACATTTATTTTTAATGAACTTAATCTAATAAGATGCAATTAAATCTTTTAAACTGTCCACAAATAATATATAACAGAATACTCTGTGCTACACAGGAAGCACCTTACTTTCAATATTATTTTCATTATGCTATTTGAGAAAGTTATTCTGCATTATCCTGGGCTCTAAAGATCAAAAAGTCTGTCAAAGCATAAAAATATAGTGATTAACATCACAGTTTCTGATTTTAAAATGTCTGACAAACTGTGGCCACACCATTTATTAGTTGTGTAACACTGGTCTTATTATTAAATCCCTCTATGCCTGAGTTTCTTTGTTTATAAACTGGAAATGAGAATATTAAGTATAACTAAAAGGGTGGGTTTGGACTGAGGATTAAAAGGGCTCCTGTATGCTTAGAACAGTGCCTGGTATATAGCAAGTACTCACTAAATGTTAAGAGCTATTATTGTCTTCAATGGTTGTGCAGGGGTCACTACCATATAGCTATAAGCTAAGATTCAGTGTCATACTAGATCCATACGGTGATTCCAGAAACATTATCTCTTCACTTTTGGGTTCCAATATATCAGGTACAGAAAAAACAAGATACTACTAGAAAAGTATTTAGCATTTTATCTTTTTTTTTTTTTAGTGAAATTTTATTTCTCTCATGAGAGAGGAAGAGGAGGACAGAAATCCTTGACAGGGTCTCGTCTCACTACAATCCCTCCCACCTGACCACTTTCCAATCAGCCAGGATCCCAGAGTGTGCCTCACATGTTCAGGTCGACCTGGGCCTTTGTGAGTCTGGTATCGTACAGTGGCAACCTATGGCCTATGCCATCATGGCTAAGCCCAACATTCCATTGTATATGCAGAAGGCATTCAAATAACTTGCTGGATATATAAATTGAAAAATATGGGGAAAAAGGAACAAATTTTCAGGGCAAACTTTGTTCTTTCTTTGGAAGATGGTAGAAAAAAGGGAACCAAAACTGAAAAGAGAAATTTGAAATTCTCTAGAGTACTATAGCTCATTTCACTGTAGTTATCAAGAGAATCAACATAATTTTAATTCTTTTCTGACAGTAAGAGCAAATGTACAATTTAAAAGCTAGTTTTTAAATAAATTAGTACTTTGTTTAGAGGTGTTTGCCTTAGGGCATATGTGCACTCTGGAGAGAGAGAGAGAGACAAAGACAGTGAGAAGGAAAGTGAGAAATCACCCTCCAAGGGGATGGTCACACCTCAAACTCTTCTCCTCCATGCTCTTCCTGTAATCTTGGGCACACGCACACACCTGGCATTAGATTCAAGCCCCCAGGTTTGGGACTTGAACAGCAGTTGGCCACGTGGGAGTCCAGCGATGTAACCTTGACGCCATCTGCTGGCCCCAATAAATTAGTATGTATAAAAAGGAAAAATCAAGAGAATTTCTGATAGCAATAAAACTAATTATTCTGTTTTACTACAGGAAGAGGATCAGTAAAAAGAGGTAGTAAAAAGATTAAGCTTATAGCTTCTGAGTTTCAAGGGGTTTCTGTTGGGACCAGTAGATGACGTAGCAGTTACGTTGCTGGACTGCTGCATGGTCACAGTTTGAGTCCCTCACCCTATGGCTTGAAACTCACACTGGGCGTGTGTGCATGCCCAAGATTCCAGGAGGAGAATGAAGAAGAAAGAATTGTGGCATGGCCATTTCCCCTGGGAGGTGATTTCTCACTTCCCCTCTCCTTGTCTCTGTCTCTCTCTCTCTCCAGAGAGTGCACGTGCCCTATGGCAAAAAAGAAAAAAGTTTCTATTGAAATGCTACAGAATGAAACAAATGTAGTATAATTTCTACTTACCAGTGATCTGAATTAAAACTGTGAACACTAGAAACATTTTTAGTCTCCTTACTTCAAGAAATGAAAGCACAGTCACTGGTATAGGAGTGATAAGTGACCTCTTTCTGGTCAACGAGGTGGTATAAAGGGAAGACTAACAGGATTTCTGAGAAAGACTTTCTTCCTAGTAAGAGCCTGATACACAAGAAAATGTCAATTTTCTACTTTCTGCTTTGAGGAGTTAGCAAGAGTAGTTCCTTGAATCTACTGTGGCACTTGACAGAAAAGCTTTAAGGACTGGCACTACTAAATGCAAAACTAAGCAAAGTTAGACTATTTAAGGACTCTAAATTTTATCTATAAAGGAGCAAGATCCGATTTGGGGGAAACTCATTCTAGAAAATACATTTTACAAAACCGCCCCATTTTCCATTATAGCTAATCACAATAGTTTGTTGACCTTCAAAACAGTATACATTTTTTTCTCTAATTCATTTTTTAAAAACTTTTTAATTGGCAGAGAGTTCATCTCTTTGGAGACAGAGGGAGAGGGAGATGAGGGATGTAGCAAGAGGGAAAAAGCAGCCTTCAATGGAGGGGGCAGGAATGTGGTCAAAGTGTAATCCATTCTCTTCTATTTCTCCATCCTGCTGGGATTTTGGGCACGCAGACACATGCACCTGGTGTGTTTTTCAAGCCACTGGGACAGGATTCTATGTGCATTAGGCTTCGTGGGAACTGGCTCCCTTGACCACTAGGCTCTTTTTTTCTTTTCTTTTCTTAATTTGAGAAAGTATATGTACACTGGGGGGAGGGGCAGTTGGTATAGGGAAAAAAAAAAAAAGTCATTCCCCATGGGGAATAGTCATGCTTTGGTCCTGGTCCCTTCTCTTCCATTTCTCCTTCTTTTAGGGATTTTTAGGTACACAAGTATATGCACGCGCTGTGTTTTTCAGCCGCCAGGTTTGTGATGCAAACCACACAATAGGCCATTCAGAGAAATATTCTGAAGCTCACATAGGAGTCTTCCCTTAGTTTTGACATTTTTCAAATTACAAAAGTATATATGTTTACTATAACAAGTGAAACAAAACAAGATTAAGTATAATAAAAGCAAAGTTCATTACTTCATATCTATTCCTTTTCCAGTCCCTAAAATAATCAAGATACCAGTGAAAATTCATGCTTCTTATAAGTTTACTTTTTCTTTTCAAATTTAATAGAGACATGATATTCAAAAGCTTACCTCCAGATATATTGATGGTGGATTATGCTCCCCACCAAATTTGTCCAATAGGGCCTCTATATGTTCCTGTGTCAACTTTATCATTTGTTTGATATTCCACACCTAAAAAATATTTTAAAAGAATTTAAATAAAAGTTACTTAGGATATGAAATAGAAATATTTTAATGTAGAATACTATATTATTGTAACTGCTGGTGCTCCTGAAAGTTCAGAGCTTAGAGATCATTCAGTATAGTGCTTTTTATCTTTTATTATTAAACATCTTTCAATTCTTTTCCTACACCAGTAATACAGTGTAGTCTCAGCTATAAAAGATCTAACGAACACACAAGTATTTGAAAGAAACCACAAATTTCTCTTTTCATCTTCCCCATATTCCTAGGTCCACCATCAAAAAGGTTAGTGCTCTTAATGGTTTAGTGAACATCCTTGTCTCCTTTTCTACCTATGTAAAAACACAAATATATACATGTATAAAATACAGAAATACAGAAAAACCCTACAAATAATATACATAAAAATATTTTTAACACTTGATTTTTTACTGAACGATAATGCCACTGAATTCTTTCTACATCAATAGAGGCTAAATAACCATTATTCAAAAATGCTAGGAAGAAGTGTTTCAGATTTTAGGTGTGTGTTTTTCTGTGTGTGTTTGTGTGTTTTTTAATTTTGGAATACCTGCACTTAGATATTGAGAAATTTTTATTTTAAAAATTATTTCTTCCATGAGTAACAAGAGAGAGACATTAAATATTCTCCTCTTAAAAAAATCACCTTTCTTCCCATTATAAAAGAAAGATGAAGTCCTCACCCACTTAAAATACTACTAAGATGCACTGTTCTGAGATGCATAAACCACAAAGTACTTAACAAATAGACAATCAAAAGAAGAGGGAAGTCCTTTGAGAGAAAAGGAAAAGAAACAAAATTAAGAACAGGGCCTTATTTTAGCAATGAAATAAATTAATCACTGGCTCACCATAGGGTGAATATGCTTGCCAGAGAGATAGAGAGATAGAAAGAGAGAAATCACCCCCCAGGGGGGATGGCCACGCTGCAATCCCCTCTCCTCCATTCTCCTCTTGGGATCTTGGGCATGCACAAACACTCACCTGGCCTGAGTTTAAGCCACCACTTCCGAGACGTGAACTGCGGTTGACTACACAGGAGTCCAAGCGACATAGCCATTATGCCAACTGCTGATACCTGGCTCACTTTTCTTTAAAATTTACTTTTCCTGACCAGAGACATTATGAGTCAAAATCAGTTCCTTTCATCCATTCCCTTCTCTTACCCTTCCTTTTTTAAGGAAGACTCAACAAATTTGGTTTAGATGCAAGTCACAATTACAAGAATTCCTCAGTCTTTGCCTCCCAAATATCTGTACCTGGTCTAAACCTGGGGTTGGGTTGGGGGGATAGAAGTAATTAATCTCAAAGGATTTCTGTCTAGATATGATGGCCAGAAAGTAAATTACTCATATTAAATTCTGGCCATCACAAGAGACACAGGTCACACATACACCTATCCAGAAGAGGATACATATTCCCTAAAGACTGTGCTAGCTCACTCAGTGCAAATTCAGATTCCTGCATTCAGTATTCATTTTCTCCGAAAGAAACTAACTCAGCTAATGTCGAGGAAGCCCACCACCCTAGTTTCCAATATCAGTTATTTTTAACTTTCACTAACTTCTAGACAGCTGAACTAAGTAAAACCAAGAGCATAAAAACTGACATACAACTGAAAGGGCAACTGAATCAAGGCATCAAGACAGTATAGGCTGAGCTAAGGTGGTACAATCAAGAGGTTCCCCACTGAATGCTAGGTAGCTGAGAGCACATGGGAAGTCCAGACTTAGTTTCTGTCCCAACCTAAACAGGTCAGGCACGATGGCACAAACCTGTAGTCCTAGCTAACTGGGAAGCGGGACCAGGAGGATTATAATGTGGCAAGACCCTGTCAAAAATGCCTATCTCGAGTCAAAGCTGCTGCCATCCCCAGAGCCGTTGAGACCCTCTGCCCTGCCTAGCTCCCAGTGCCATGCAGTTGGAGAAGACCTTCAAGCAGCGTCACACCTTCGAACAGAGAATAGATGTCTGATTTCTCCGAGAGCAACATCCCACCAAAATACCAATGATAATAGAGCGGTACAAGGGTGAGAAGCAGCTTCCCATCTTGCATAAGACCAAGTTCCTGGTACCTGACCATGTCAACATGAGTGAGCTCATCAAGATAATTAGAAGGCACTACAACTCAATGCTAATCAAACCTTCTTCCTATTGGTGATTGGACACAGTATGGTGAGCGTGTCCACGCCCATCTCTGAAGTATATGAAAGTGAAAAGGATGAAGATGGATTCCAGTATATGATCTACGCCTCCCAAGAGACGTTTGGAATGAAACCGTCAGTATAAGACTAGAAAAATGCAGCTGCTCTAAATTTCCAAAACCCTTACCAAGGGAAAAAAGGGATATTACCAACTGAGATTGATCAAGTTCATCTAGACACAGATCATCAAAACAGTAGTGTTCCCACCTAGGAGTTTTAGGAAATTGCTTTTGTATTTCAAGCAGAAAAACTGAGCTCCAAATGAGCAAATTCAGCTTTGGAAAACTCTATTATTTAACCTAGACCACCTTGTTTTAAAACTTTAGAGGTTTAAAAATAAAATACTTTGCATTCTAAAACAAAAAAAAAGCCTATCTCAGGCTGATGGTAGCATGACACCCTGTGAGGCTGACCCAAAGTCTTGGTTCCAGTTCACATCTTGTGACCTTCCTGAGTATGCGAAAAACATGTATGTCTACCCTGGGCTGGTTGAAGGTGGACCATGGTATCAAGACTCTATTGGGGGGACCAGCAGTTAGTGTAATGGGATGTCGCTGGACTCCCATGTAGGCAACCGCGGTTCGTGTCCCGGATCCAGTGGCTTAAAACTCAGGCCGGGCGCGTGTGCGTGAGTGCCCAAGATCCTGAGAGGAGAACAGAGGAGAAGGGATTGCGGTGTGCCATCCCCCCTGGGGGTGATTTCTTGCTTTCTGTCTCTCTGTCTCTCTCGCGAGTGCACGCACCCTATAGCAAAAAAATAAATAAATTAAATTAAATTAAAAATAAAAAAGACTCTATTGGGTACCTGTTTCTCTGACTCTCGGTCTTATTTACATATAATTGATGCATATCTTTGTGGGATACAGTACAGTTTTTAAAGACATCTTGATTGGGTGTTGGCTTAAGAAATGTGACTGATTTGGGAACCAGCAGTTAGTGTAATGGCTATGTTGCTGGACTCCCACGTAGTCGACCGCGGTTCGTGTCCCGGACCCGGTGGCTTAAAACTCACACCGGGCGCGTGTGCTTGCGTGCCCAAGATCCCGAGAGGAGAATGGAGGAGAAGGGATTGCGGCATGACCATCCCCCCTGGGGGTGATTTCTCGCTTTCTATCTCTATGTCTCTCTCTGTCTGTCTGGCGAGCACACGCGCCCTATAGCGAAAATCTCTCCAAAAAAAAAAAGAAATGTGACTGATTTGAGTTTCTATCCAGACCACTAAAATTTTCTTAATATCAGCAATAAGGTTATTTCACTTGTTATCATCATTCACATGTTCACTGCAGTAGCCCTTTTAATTTCCTTTAAGACGTTTTCCTTTGCATTTACAACTTGATTAACTGGTTCAAAAGGTCTAGCTTTCAGCCAGTGTTGGCTGAAACTATGCCTTCTTCACTAAGCTTAATGATTCCTAGCTTTGGGTTTAACATGAGAGATCTACAACTCCTTCTTTCACTAGAACATTTAGAGGCTTTTGTAAGATTATTATTAATGGGACTAATCACAATATTGCTGTGTCTCAGGGAACAGGAAGACAAGAAGGGAAAAGGAGAGAGATGGAGGAATGGTCAATCAGTGGAGCATTCAGAACATACACAATTTTAACTATTTACCAATTAAAATCACTGTTTTGTTTGTTAGTTTGCTTGCTTATTCATTCATTCAGGAGAGGTTTTTGCCACAGGGCGTGTGCACTCGCCAGAAATACAGGGAGAGACAGAAAGCAAGAAATCACCCCTCCGGGGGGATGGCCATGCTGCAATCCCTTCTCCTCCATTTTCCTCTTGGGATCTTGGGCACATACACACACGTCCGGTGTGAGTTTAAGTCACCGGATCTGGGACTCGAACTGTGGCTGACTACCTGGGAGTCCAATGATAAAGCCATTACGCCAACTGCTGGTCCCAACGTCACTGTTTTAAATGGATGTGGTTCATAGCACTCCAAAACAATTACAATAGTAACATCAAAGATCACAGATCACAGACAACCAGACAAGAAATAATAACGAAAAACCTTGAAATACTGAGAATTACCAAAATGTGACAGAGACACAAAGTAAGCACATGCTGTTGTAAAATTAGTGCCAAATGACTTGCTCAATTTAGGGTTATCACAAAACTTCAATCTGTAAGACATTTAAAATCTGTGATGTGCAATAAAGAGACGCACAATAAAATGATATCTATATGGTAGTAATATTTCCATAATCCACTTAAGAAAGTAAATAATTGAGTCTAAAGCAGATGGTAAAAACTTAAGTACATGCTTATTGGAAATGCCTGGGATCACAAGAGTTTCAAATTTTGGATTCTTTAGATTTTGGAATATCTACACATATATAAGAAGATATCCTAGGAAGGGACCCAAGACTAAATGTTATGTTTCATATACACATTATATACATACCCTGAAGTAATTTTATACATTATAGTATTGTAGCATTTTTACTGTAACTGTCCCATGAAATCAAGCATGCAATTTCACTTGTAGTGTCAAATAAGTACTTCAAAAGTTTTGAATTTTTGAGCATTTTGGATTTCCTATTTTCGGGTTAATGATACCCAACCTGTACCTATATGGGAATCTATAGAGCGATCACTGAAATGATATAAAGAGATTAAAATTTTTTAAAGCCCCAATTAGTAAATTAAAATGGAATAAAAAATGTTCAAATAGGGGCCAGATGGTGGTGCAGTAGTAAAACATAACATTCTGTGAGGCAGTTCCACATAGGAAGGTTGCTGGTTCCAGGCTGGTGAA